TTGCAAAAAGGATTTTTTTTTTTTTTTTCCCTACCACATTAGTGTATTTCATCCCTCCATCCCCCCTAAAGTTACATTACTGAATAAGACTCTCCATCAAATAGGGAAGAACATGTTATTATTATGGGATAACTGCTTAAATTTCCTAATTATGAACATTTTTAAATTTTTAGCTTTTTGACCATTTTCCAATTTCCATAATTGTCTTTCGATTTGCTTTGTCCAGATGTTAATAGACTATCTAAGTTTTTTTTGTTATTTGTCAGATATTTCATTTTTTCGCAATATTAATTTCTGTAATACAACCTTTGTCACCATTCACAGTGGCCAGGAATAAGAAGAAAGAAAGAAAGAAAGAAGAAAGAAAGAAAAGAAAAGAAAGAAAGAAAGAAAGAAAGAAAGAAGAAGAAAAGAAGAAAGAAAGAAAGAAAGAAAGAAAGAAAGAAAGAAAGAAAGAAAGAAAGAAAGAAAGAAAGAAAGAAAGAAAAGAAAGAAGAAAAAGAAGAAGAAGAGAAGAAGAAAAATCTATCTATCAATCTATTATCTGAACATTTCAATTTCTGGTCTTCACACTTTAGTAGTTCTGGTAGCTGCTCAGAGATTATAGAGCTGAATTTCAAATTTCACCTATCTTGCTATCTTTACTTATAGGAATTATCATGAACAAAAGAATGGTCCTTTACCCAGCCACAGTTCAAGTTTGCGTAATTCTTCACAAAGCAGCTTTTGGAAGTGTTGTACTTTCTCAATAGATGACATAGCACATTCATTCTCACTCTATTTCCTACTTTCCCCTTACCATCATCTGCTTTAGTTTCAAAACCTATTGCATTTTTTTCAGCTAATTTAGCCCTCTCTCTCCTGACAAGCCTCAATGATGTTCACCATGCAAGGATATTGTCTGTTTACAACAATCTGCTGAAAGATGTCTTGCAAGGCTAAATCATTCACCTTGAGCATTTTGGGCTACGCACACACATGCTAAATGCTCAAGAGAATGCAGGCTATATCTCTAATGATCTTTATATATTCCTACCTGATAGAAAAACATAGGTGGATTGAAAAGAGGAAAGATGGAAAAAGTAACAATCCCTCAATTAGCCCCCACTCTTTCCTCCATTCTCTGTTGTCACAAGACAAAGAAAGTCAGAATAAAAAACTAAAAGTGGCAAGAGTGAAGGGAGGGGAACCAAGAAACCAAACCTCTCAAACAGATAAAAAGCATTTTTCAACCCTCAAATGCCTCATTTTCTATTCACTCTAGTTCTGGTAATCACTACTAATTACATAAATATATGACAAAAAGTCTTTCTCTCAACAAAGAGCTTACCTCTGGTGCCATCCAGTATGGTGTGCCGATGAAAGACTTTCTTTTGCTAATGGTGGCTGTGATCTGAGCTGACACACCAAAGTCAGCCAGCTTCACATCACCATTCTCCGTTAATAAGATATTGGCGCCCTGAAGGAAAAGTTGAGATCAGTTAACTGAATCTTTAACTAAATAAATGAAAAATACCAGATCAACATATTTTAAACTCATTTTCATGTTTTTTATGGAATGTATCAAATCTATAGTATACCTTTATATCTCTGTGCATTTTACCCATACGGTGGAGATACTCCAACCCTCGCAATGTCTCCCTGCACATATAACCAATCTGACGCTCTTGAAGAGGTCCAGTAACTGAAATTTTTAAGGTACATTAGAACTTTCCTCAATGTTAAGATAATAAATACTTTAATAAATACTTTAAGTTTCTGTATATGTACAAAAATATTAGACAACTGCATCAAATAAAAGGTTTTATGCTGTATAACCAAACAATAATGTGAATAGTTGATTCTATGGTAAAGAGAACCTGTTGCACAATATTTGAGGATAAACCCCAATATTTTTACTCTCAGATTCGATTACGAGAGGCTTATCTCTGGCTAATCAAAATGACAATTATCTTAAAAACAGACATTGCAAGTACTCATGTTTTCCAAACACACCCACAATGAAGGCCACTTACTATGGTATATATCCTGCAGGGATCCACCTCCACAAAATTCCATGCATATCCAGAGTTTGTCTCTCCGTAAATAACTCCCAAAGTAAGCAACAATGTTTGGGTGTCTGCAGTCCTTCATCATCAGGATTTCTGCTGGATGAGTGAAGTCATCACCTATAAGAGCATATAAAGCGTAGAGATAATGGTAAAGTGATTAATAATAGTCCTCTACAAGCAAGTTTTATTGATACCAATTCACACTGGGTACGGAGTGCATATTTCATCCATATGTTTTTGTATTTTTAAATATATAGGTGGTCCCTAAACCAATTGGTGACCAAAGGAATCAACTTATAGGTCTACCTCACTTGTTAACTCTTTTCCTTAAATTTTTGGGGCTAAAAGATTTTCTATGTCACCATTGTCCTCTTTTATGTTATCATTAATTCTGATGATACTATGATCATATATGTTAATAATATGTAAAAAAATCAAACTTTCATAAC